GCGTTATGAATATAAGTAGTGGTTACTTAAAATTCTGTACTAAAATAAATATTCATGTACACACACGTGTATATATATATATATATATATATATATATACTGAATAATAATTGTAAACTATTAAATTGCACAATATGTACATAAAGTAATTATTAATCTTTTGCACGTCCCCAACTTACTTAACAACTTAATCAATGCTGCTTGCTCTATTATGTGAAATACTGTGAATGTATATTATTTTATATATTTTATTTTTGTGATTAAATTTAATATTGTGTCAACTTCATAATGAAATATCAAAATATAAAATAAATTTTAAAACAACTTAACACTTTTAGTTTTTAAGTTTATTTTATATGTAAGGTTCAAAAGCCGAAAACGTTCATTGAGCAAAAAACATGATGTGGGAGTGAAATTATTGTGATGGCTCTGCTCCGCTAGGAGCCAGTACCTCATATAATATCTATTCTATTGGTTACTGTAAATAATTTGATGTTAGGATGTCTTTAACAGCTAAGATTCTGACTTTCAATTAAAGAACAAAAAGTCTTTTGTTCAATAAAAGTCGATTAGAAGACAAAAAGATTAGCCATGGTCGAAATGATGTACTCCACTGGGATCTAGCACCTTGTATAATTTATATTATATTAGTTTTTGTAAACTTTATAATCTTCTGTTGGTTCTATCACGTAACTTCTTCGTCGTCGTCTATTATATTAGTTTTTGTAAAGTTTATAATCTTTTGTTGATTCTATCACTTAACTTCTTCGTCGTTTCAAGGCTACATTAAATACCATCCAGAATGCGTTGTGGTATATCTCTACTAACACAATGCGTTGTGACTACTTTTAAAACTACCATGACACAAATTTCTTTACGTGCTCATTTAAAGTTATGTATGTTAATAAGCATTGTGACTGTTTTTTTACTTTTTGGGCTCAATGAACATTTCTTAACAGAATATATCAATTGACAATTGTTTTTTTCATTTTTTATAGAATTTTATATTAAGCTTCACATGAAATTAATTGAAAAAAGTTGTATAAGATTAGTTCTATGCGAAAACGACTGATAATAGACTGCCAAACCAATATGATACAGTAGTATTTTACGTATTTACAGAGACTTTTTTCTTCGCCAATTCTTATTTTATTCTTTCTCCGTGTTTTTTTTTTATTTTTCCGCGTTTTATATTAATAAAGTATATATGGTACATTGATTGCTTGATCATTAGGTTAGGTAATGAAGTTTACCTAAGAATTGATTATTCAGTCTGGTAGAATAATTCATACATAGTGCAGTATACGTATGGCTTAATTATTTTTGTAAATGATTTTGTGAACTTTTACAATAATAAGTTTAGCGCTAACTGCTTGCGAGAGTGAAATGAAGCGGTTTTCTTTCTAAACTGATAACTCAATTTGGTAGAACAATTCTAATTTTGTGCGCTATTTCTGATATAAAACTTACGAATGCTGTTAAGAATATTTATTAAAAAACTATTCATAATTTTTACTCAACAAATTATTACTTTTAATACTAAAAT